TGCGGGTCTCCCTCAGGAAGTGCGAGGAGGCGTGGGAGGATGGGCTGGGGCTGCGGGTGCAGCCCCGGGGTATCCCTGACAGTAGGTGGTGAGACAAAGGTCGTGAGAGAAATCAGTGTTTAGAAAGGCAAAGGCTTGACCAGGCTGCACTCAGTGTCCATTATCCCAGAGACCTGGCTCTGGAGCAAGGGGGTGGACTCGGTTGGACCCAGTAAGCATTTATTGAGCGCCCAGTGTGTACCAGCGGTGTGGACGGTGGGGAAGGAGAAACGAGCAGCACACAGCCCCTGCCTCAGGCTAAGAAGGTGACGGGGACTGTAACACAGGTACAGCACCTGCTACAAAGTGTCCCAGGAGAGGGCACTGAATTCATTCACTGTCGGGGAATTCCTCAGCAGGGATAAACCGGGTTGATGAGCTGACGGGTGGCAGGAGGCAGGGCTGGGGGGTCTTGTCCCCCTCGTTTCAGGCCTCTCAATCCTCTTAGAATAAGATTCAAACCCCGGACAGAGGTCTAGAGGGTCCGGCATGACGCTGTGCTGGTGGCCACTGTGTTCACACGTGGAAGTATCTGAAATGTGGCTGGTGTGTCTGAGGAGCTGACATTTTAAAATTTATTTAAAAAAATTTTTAAATTGAAGTACAGTTAATTTATAATGTGTTTCAGGTGTTCAGCAAAGTGATTCAGTTACATATATCTATTCTTTTTCAGATTCTTTTTCCTTATAGGTTATCACAAGATACTGAGTAGAGTTCCCTGTGCTAGACAGTAGGTCCTCATTGTTGATCTCTTTTACGTATAGTGGTTTGTATCTGCTAATCCCACACTCCTAGTTTATCCTGCCCACCCCCCTTACTTCATTTAGCTGTAACTGGTTCGATCAGCACAGACACAGAACATTGCCATCATCACCCAGAGCTGCGCAGGACAGCACACCCTGCCCGCCTGTGTCCACCTGTGCGCGCCTTCTCCTCCCCACACCGAGGCCGCGCTGGTCTGTGGGCCCCGAGGACGTGCCAGGCTCATGGCCTTTACCCCATGGTTCCCTCTGCCTGTGGCACCTTCCCCCACTGCTGAGATGGGTGGCCTGCGCGCCCCTGTCTGACCCCTCCCTGACCACCGCTCAGAGGGCGAATGAGAGCGGACCCGGCCATCCATCACAGTTTTGTCCGTGGGGACTGGCCTGCCGCGTAGCCGGTTAGCACTCGGGACAGACTTACGAGACAGCCTGAGTGAGCCGCACGCAGAGGAACGTATGTGCAAAGGCGCCGGGGAGGCATCGGCGCCGGGCGAGTCAGACAGGGCTGGCAGGAAACAAAATGAGGAGGGAGGCTAGTGGGGGGGGAGGGGCAGCGGGGTCCCCCAGGGAAGGCGCTACAGCTCCTGACTTGGGCTGCCACCGGGGATCCCACTAGCTGACCGGGGACTCAGCTGGAAGAGACCAGGCAGCCGGAAAGCCCAGAGCTACCCGGGACAGGGAGGGGGCAGGTGAGGAAGGACTGGGCTTCGCAAGGGGTCCACCCGGGAAGCTACCGCTTCCAGCTCCGTTTGGGGTTCAGGTGGAGGTGGCCCCCTCACCTGAGGGCCTGGAAACAGCAAGGAGTAGCTTCAACCCTTAGAAGCAGCAGGAGCCCCAGAGGCATCGTCTCAGCCTCCACCTGAGCCAGTGCTCCGACCTGGCCCAGCGGTGCCTCCCTCCCCTCTAGGAGGTGAGCTGGATAAAGACGGGAACTTTGTCTCTTTCGGCCTCATGTCCTAGCACGGGCCCTGCCTCGTGGGAGGTCCTCACGAAGTACTCATTGAATGAACGAATCCATATTCCCCCTCTCGGAGAGCCCTGAGTGTTGAGAGTGGAATCTGGGTCCCAGGCAGTCTGCAGGGCAGGCAGCAGAGGATAAGACCCCCATCCACACTCATCATCCCAGTGTCTTTGAAGGTGAAATTGACTCATCTTGTTTCCGAATCAAGTCAAAATTAACTTCTTCCAAGACGCTTTCCCTAGACCACCCCACACCCTCTCAACTCAAATCCACCCACACCCACTCGGGTGTTTTCACCATCTAAAGACGTGCCATTCAGAGCGCGCTCATCTCCGGGGCCTCTGTGGCCTCTGTTCCTCACTTGGGGACTGTGACCCTCTCCTCTGGTCTGTTTCAGGGGCAGGGCCCCTAAGGGGCGGGGCTTGGGCAGGCAGGAGAGAGAGGTGACAGGAAAAGCTGTGGCCCAGACCCATCTTCCCAGCCAGAACGAACCTCCCTGTGGCCCCAGACCTGTGGCTTGAGTCACCTTCCTTTCTTTCTCCCAGGTCGGGGGTCAGACTTGGTTCGGATCCCGGCTGCACCACTGACTTCCTGTTTCTGAGTGTGTTTTCTCATCTGCAAAACAATACCTCCTGGGGGGTTACTGGGAGATAAAATAGTGTCTGCAGAGTGGACGGACTGGTGGTGCCGGCCCTCCCTCCATCCACGTCCACATCCAGACTTTGCTTCACCTTGTTATTGGGGTAGGAGAGGCAAAGTCCAGAAGACCTGATTCAAGATTCTCCTGCTCTAAACACCCCCATAACTGACAGCTGAATTAGAGAGTGTTTGGGCTACGGTGGACTTGGGGAGCTATCAAATCTACCTCCTTGCTTTACAGATTTGGAGGGGAGGATGGAGGAGGGCATCCTCCTCCATCCACCTGTCCAGCATCATGAATCGAGTTAGGGATACCGCGGGAACTGGATCCCAGGTGGCCTGGCTTTCGTGCCTTGTGATGGAAACAGATGCTGTTAAAAGGTTGGTCCTTGGAAGGATTTTAGCCACTGCTCGTCACAGGGGAACCTCAAGGAGGTAGCCTGGCACCGTCACCAAGTGCCCAGGTGCTGGATCCAGGCTGCCTGTGCCGCTTACCAGCCTTGTGACCTTGGTGAGCCTGTTTCCTCACCCGAAAAAGAAAGATGCGGATGCTGGTACCCACCCCATAGGATGATTGCATTCAAATGAGATGGTCTATGTAAAGGGCCCAGACTGTGCCTGATATGTAGGAGCACAGCAGATACTTGCTGTGGCTATCAATAGATGAAAATGTTAATATCAAAATAATAGAGAAGCATCTAGAAAAGCTTCATATCTGGAAACCATTTTAAAGATAATCACTTTCAACCCCCAGGGGCTAAGTATGGGCTATTACAGCAATATGGGCCACTCCTGTCACCTCCCTCAGGGCCCTTCTACATCCTAAAGGTGGCAAAATTATCATTATTTAAAGATGAAATGAACATTTATTATGGCTAGCATATTAGGTTGTAGATGGGCCAAATGCATGATACAATGGACTTGTGTTTTTCTGTGCTGTCATGTATACTTTATAGGATGTTGGGCCCCTTCCGTCATCGGTGTGCACTGTACTTTAAGGCCCATTTTGTAGGACTTTTATAACGGAGGCCAGATAGCGTGGAGGGAAGCACACTGGCCCTGGAGTCACCAGGCCCGACTGAAAGGTAGGTTTGCCACGTATTAACTGGTGACCACTGGCAAGCTACCTCCTCTTCGAGTCAGAAAACTGCAGAGGCTGGGCTGGATGACGTCCAAGGCTCGGTCCAGCCCTGGCAGACTATGGCTCAACGCAGAATCTTACAATCTGAAGTGATAGTCAAGGTCTACAGGGGTTGGGCTTTGGTATCCATGACGTACTGTTGGTCACATCTCCGGTTTATTTGACTCTAAGTTCTTAGGGACATAACCCTCAATCAGAAAACTATTTCTATTGAATCCACGATGTGCTTTACGATTTTCTTCTCTGCACGTGGCTCCCAGGAATGCATTACGGAGAATAGCTGGGCTCCTGCCTGGAACACCCACGTCTCAGGAAGCGAGCGAGTGACCATCATGTGGTCCCTGAGACCATCCCTGGGCTTCTCAAGTCCAGCTCACAGAATTCCCCACGAGCATAGATTCTGAGGGTCCCTTCCTCTGCAGAGCAGAAGGGCAAGCTGAAAGTGAAGGGTGTGAGCTGCGAGTGCCAGCTACAAAGGACAGCAGAGGTGATGGCTGGAGGAGCCCGGAACACACAGAAGCTGACCGGACTGCACTGTCCGTTCAGCACTGGGTGTCCAGCACGGGAACCCTGAGTTGTCAAGAAGTGCATAAATGTGCTCAGGGTCTTTTGCCAAAGGGGGAAAGGCAGGGGTGTGCTGCCCTTAGAAAGATTTCCATCAACATAGGTTTGAAATATTCAGTTCCTGTTACACACCAGGTTCCCTGGCGCCGGCTACCTCGGGGCCTGCGGACAAAGCTACAAGAATGAAACATCGCTACACACGCCCCAGGGAGTATGGGAGAATGCACACGACGTCCTAGGATAATAAGTCCACAGCCAGGTAGTTTTAAGGGGTAGGCTACCTTATGGTTTTTCAGTAAGGATCTGGGTAGGATTCAAATCAGACTTAATTTACCTTAAATTAGCTAGTCTTCATTTACTCGTCCGTTAAAACATATTTTTTATTGAGCCCCGAAGATGTACCAGGCACCCATTTCAGGGGCTAAGTCTGGAGTTTCAGAGACACCCACTGTTCACCTGGTGTTTCCCCTGGCATGCCCATGCCCTGGGGGGTGGGCACTACTTTGTGGTTTTCCATCTCAAGTCTCATCCTGCTGTGGGCTTCAGGCCCTCACCCCCATCCACAGGGCCGGTCTCCGCAGTGACCTCTGCACGGAGGCAGATGGGCATCTGGCTGTGCAGGGGGCGCAGTCGAGAAAGACTCCTTTTTCCTAGAGAGAAGTCTCCCTCAGTCCCGAGCTGAGCACGCACTCTATCCCTGAGCGCGCAGGACCGCCGGGACAGAGGGCGGCTCCCCGGCGGAGGCCTCACCTCGGCAGGTCGCGGGGAGAGGGAAGGGGGACAAAGCAAGAGAGAGCACGGTCCAGGCTCGGGACTTGAAGCCCTGCCCCCAGAGCGCCCGGCCCGCAGCTCAGCGCCCGGGGCTCCGCTGGAGCGGCCGCGGCGGGGAGGGGGCGGCGCCGGGCGGGGCGGTATATCCAGCGCGGCGAAGGGCGGGCCCGCCAGTGCTTGGGCCAGGACGCGCCGGGTGGAAGTGCCGGGAGCAGCAGCCGGGAGCTGTCACGCGCGTGGTCGTCGCTCTATGGGCACAGGGAGCCTCTGAGCACGAGAAGACCCCGCTGCCTACCCGCACGTCGCGAGCCCCGCACCTCGCACCTTGCCGCTCGCTTTCCGGGCCCGCGCCCCGCGCCGCCATGAACCACTCGCCGCTCAAGACCGCCCTGGCCTACGAATGCTTCCAGGACCAGGACAACTCGACGCTGGCCCTGCCGTCGGACCTGAAGATAAAGACCGGCACGTCGGGCCAGCAGCGCGTGCAGGAGCAGGTGATGATGACCGTCAAGCGGCAGAAGTCCAAGACTTCCCAGTCGTCCACCCCGAGCCACTCCATCCGAGGTAAAGGCCGGATGCGCGCGTGGCCGGGCGGCGGGGCGCGGGGCGCGCGCAGACCCCAGCAGCGCTCCCCTCCGCCGCCGGGTCTACTGTGCAGCCGCCGCTCGGCGGCGCGCTCACGGTGTTGGGGGGTGGGGGCGCGGTGGGAGACGCAGTCAGGGCCGTTCTCGGGGCCCAGGGCTTTCTCTTCCCCGGCCTGCTCCGGGGAGCTGTCTCCGCGTCCTGTCTTACCCGGTCGCCCGGGGTCGTGCGCCTCCCTCACCCCGCCCCATCTTGCCCGGACTTAGCTGCGGGATCTCAGTGGCTGGGGGGGGTCCGGGGGGAGGGCGGTGCGTGGCTGCCCGACGGGCAGGGAATCACGGAGACCCGAGTGGAGGCCCAGGAGGGGCGGGCGGCCGGGGAGGTGGCTCAGGGAGCAGACAAGCCCTTGTGACTGCGCGGCGTGGTAGCGGGAGCCTCGCACCTGGAAGAGGCATGTGTGGTTCCAAGGTCGCCCCGGGCCAGTGCGGACCCTGGGGACTGAGGCCGGGAAGGGGACCAGGATGCCCTCTTTCCCGTGGCTGAGACAAACCCACTTTCCTACGGGATTCGCCCTGACCCACTCAGCTTGCCTAGAAACAAGTGTCTTAGGGGCAGCTAGGGAATTCGGTGGCCAAGGTTGGGAATGCCCCGCCCTCGACCCCCCGCCTTGCTGGGCCCTCGTGGTGGGCACCTGTCCATCTAGGTGCCGGCCCGGCCAGCCCTCTCCCCTCCACGGTAAGCTCCCCCACCTGGGGGCGGCCAGGAGAAAGGGGTAGGACCCCTGAAACGCAAGGAGGAAGGTATGATACCTGACAGGGCCCTTTGCGGAGGATTTTTAGACCAAACGCTTTCATACAAACAATTCCCAGTGAGAATTACACACGGATCAGGGTACCTTCTATTTACTTATTTAAATGCTAATAAAGTCGCTGCAGACTGCAAACAGTACAGGTCATCCAAGATTTACTTATTGAAAAAAAGAGATACAGTGATCAAGTCAGGTGTTCATGAGAGAGCGGGGAGAATGAGGGTAGTAAAGAGGGGGGGACAAAGGAGATGAATCCTCACCGATTCTCCCACACACGCGTGCATACGTGCGCGCACACACACACACACCAGCTCACAATTTCAACCTCTGTGCCCCCGCCCAAGTGGCCCCCGTGTAGAGCTGAGGGGGAGAAAGTGGCTGGCAGAGGACTCCCCTGCACCGCAAACCCAAAGGTCTGTGCGGCTGTGCCCCCTACTCCTCTCCTCCCAGACCCCCACTCGAGGTCACAGCCTCCAGAGCGCCTGCCCCCTTCCCTTTTGTTTGGTAGCTGCTTCCAGCCTTATTTGGAAGTAGGTTTGGGAAACAAAGTGCCCTTCCTGGCCACAGCCCAGTCGCAGCTCAAGCCAACCTCCTCTCTCCCTTGCTGCAGACTCACCTGTCCCCGTCCCGCTCCCACTCCGTCCCTGGCCTGAGCTGGAGGCTCGCAGCTCCAGAAAAGTCTCAGACCAGCCCCGGTGCCCCAGACACCCCCTCTGATCCCCCCATGGGGCGCTGGCTGGGCACTGTGCCCCTGGCCTCTCTCTTTGTGGGTGACACATCCATCCCTCTTCTCTCCACTTCTCCATCCCAAGGTCCTCCGGGGGCGTCAGCAGGCAGGGGCGGACTCTGATGGCTAGTGCGTCCCTCTCTGAGGGCTGACCCTGGAGGCATGTCCCCTCTACCCCTGGCTCTGACCAGTTTCCCCAGCGGCACTGTAGCTGGGAGAGGCCGTCAGGCCACCTGCAGCTGGCGTTTCTGGTTTATCCGGCTTTGTCTCTTCGCCAGCACCGCCCAGGCGTCCCCCGTTTGCTCTGTGACTGCCTCTCCCCGCTTTGGTCCTTCTCTGTCCCGTTGGTTTCACTCCATGTGTCTGCTCTGGTCCCCGGAGGGGTGATTGGCGACTGTGAAAGGACCACGCCCCAGGCCATCCCCCTCGCCCCCTGCACAGACTCGAATTCTCTTTCAGTTGCCCGAGACAGAAGAGCAGGTTTCTCTGGGGTCTTTGATTCTCCCGGGCCCCCGCCCTGAAGAAGGCCAGGTGCGCCCCACTGACCGCAGAGGAGCTGCCTCTCCCTGTAGCCCTGTAGGACAGTCAGGGGTCAGCCACCCACGATCCTGGCAGTAGGAGTGTCTTTTGTCCGGAGCCAGCCCGTAGGGCTGCCTTCCATCCTGTCAGGGAGGGGCCTTGAGCCGCCGAGGGCTGGGTGTGGGACCGCGTGGGAGAAGCCTGGCGTGAACGCCCATCTCTGCCGTGCCCTCCCCAAACACGGGCCCAGACGCACGGCCCACCCTGTTGGGCAGTCCCCCGTTAGGGAGGGGTTCTCTGGGGCCTGGAGGCCCTGCAGGAGGAGGCTGCTCGGGACCCGCCCACCCATCTTCTCCTGAATGGGGCCTCTGAGCACTGCTGCCCACGCTTCCCGAGGGTCCCCGTGGGCAGCGGGAGGAACCCGGGAACGTGGCTGCCCAGCCGGAGATCAGGGCTGGGAAACATGACCTCCTTGCGGCGGGCGGGGAGCCGCTGCGGGGTGGACCGTGGGGAGAGGGACTGGTGCGCTGTCGTCTGGCCCGAGCGGAGACACTGCCATTTTCATGCCCTTAATGCTCCGCTTGGAATCTCTTCCTAAAGCTGAACCCAAATCTCCTCTGATCCAAGTCCGAAGCCGCCGCTGCCACACACACACACGCACACACACTCACACGCGCGCACACACACTCACACTCACACATACATACACACTCACACAGACACGCGCGCGCGCACACACACACGCACACATACACTCACACACATACACTCTCTCACACACGCGCGCACACACACTCACACATACATACACACACACACACATACACTCACACACACACACACACACAGCTCGGTGGAACCAGCTGCCTTCCACACAGCATTCCAGGGAGTCCTAACCCACGCGCCCTGCGCACTGCCCCGGGAGCCATCGTCAGCCTTGGGCCCGAAGGTTCTGTCTCCATTCTTCTCAGAAGCACCATTTCCCACCTGTGATGGTCAGAGGTGGGGGTGGGGTGCGCTGGGCAGGTGTCCTGCTCCCCAGGGCCCTCCTGGGGGCAGGCTTGTGCCCAGGGGAGCCAAGACCCTGTCTTAGGGCCCCGCTGGCCGGCTCCCTGGATTCATGGGGGGCTGTGTCTCGGCGTGACCCTCCACCCGGGGAGGTTCTGCTGTCTCTACTGTCCTGGAAGGTGTCCTGCCCTGACCACAGGCTGGGCACAGGTGTCTCTTCTGGGGTTATTTCCTCGGGACCAAAGCTGAGACGGGAGGAGGTACGTGGTGTCTGTGCTTAGGCCTGCCCCAGCAGGGAAACATCTTAGTTAAACTTCAAGCAGACCAGTTCTCATTTCTTCACAATGCCTCCTCTAGGAGCTGAGGGCTTAGCCAGGATTTCCACCGGCCTGTTACAACACATGCAGAAATGCCGAGTATTCCGGGGTGTTCCCCCCCCATCCTGCTCCTTTGCTAAGCTCATTGACAGAGATTAGAAAACAAATAAACAAAACAAAAGAAATTCCTCTCCCCACACACGGAATTGTAAATATCAATAAGCCACTTGTTCTAGGTTTGAAACTCTGGGAGCTACTTCTGCGATAGGGTGTGACCCGTAGAAGTTATGTGATGTTTGAACAAAACAAAATGGAGGACTGTTTTCCATGGAAGGTAGCCTCCTGTGAGGCTCTTTGTAGGCACACGCCACACAGGCACGCGTGTATGCACACGTATACCCACCGCTGTACACACACACACACGTGTCCTCACGCACACGCGCATTCACACGCGGCCCGCCTCGCGGCAGCTTGTACAGCAGCAGGAGTCCCACTGGTGTCAGGAGGCTTGAGTTCTCTCTGATCTGTTGCCAGCTGCTGTGTGATCTCGGGCAAGTGGCTGCCCCTCTCTGGGTCTGTGCAATCGTAAGAGGTGGGGTGAGATCATCTCCAGATATTTCACTGGAAATAGATGTATAACTCATGGCCTCTCCAGACCGTTTCCCCAGACCATCTGCAGCTGCAAAAAAAGCTCCTCCCCTCAAGACACGGCCCTCACGGTTTCCTTCCAGGAAGCATCAGATCCCCCAAAACTATCCCCCAAAGCACTGTCTTAAGCATGGTTACACGTCGGAAGAGTCTGGGAATTTCCGGCCCCCAGAGGTTCTGGTTCAGTTAGTATGGGGACAGCGCGGGCATGTGGACTGTTAAAGGCTCCCAGGCGGTTCTGAGATGCAGCAAAGTTCTGGCCCTCACCCGCCCTCACACAGAGACCCCCTGTGGGGACCACCCCATCACAGGCACACACCTCTACACACACACAGGGACGGGCATCTAGTGTGGCAGTTACTGGTGACGATGCTTTACCCTGGACCCCCCTCGGGGGGCTGAGCCCAGGCCCCAGCACGCTTCTGCCCTCAGTTCAGCACTTAGGCTTAGTGGTGGCCACACACAGGTCGTGAGGAGGAGAAGCAGGTTTCCAGCGGCGTGTCCACGAGCGCCCCACTGGCCTGGGTGGAGGGCAGAACATCCCCTGCGATGTTCGAGGGGCAGGAGCTGGGCTGCGGGACAGTCCGGGGTCCCAGACATCTCCGTGCCCTCTTCTGACAGTTCTCCTTATTGTCTAACTTAAATTCCTCTTGCTGTGGGCCTCACCCTGCTGGGCACCCTGGATGGGACGGATTTCGGGGGTGAAGTAAAGGCGTTTCTGAGGCCGAGAGACAGTGGGCTTCCCTTCTGAAGCTTTCTGTGCTAAGGAACAGATGTAAGTGCAGAAGCAGCTAGAAGAGGCAGGAACCTTGTGAGAGGCAGATTCACAGACATCCCTCTCTGGGAGGGCCTGTGGCTAGCAGGGACGGGGGTGTGGGGAGACTGGGGTGGAGGAGAGGCGTTTCGGGCAACCTCTGCCCCTGGGGCAGCCCTTTGGCCAGGCTGGCCGGTGTCCCGAGGGCCTTCTCCAGGTGGAGTCTGGTCCTGGGTCGGGGTGGGTGGAGAGCGCCCCCAGCAGACACACACAGAGAATGTACAGCACAGAGTGCGTCGAGCAGGTAGCCCGGGTGCTGACACGGCTCCCAGGGCGAGTTGGGGCGCCGGGGTGGGGGGTGGGTCTTCTCCAGGAGGAGCTGGTTTTGTGCAGGGTTTGGGCTCCAGGGAGAGGCCTGCCTGAGAAGGAGAGCAGGAATGTTTCAGGCGTGGCGGGCGTGACCCATGGAATGCTTGGGGGTGGAAGGGTGAGTCATCCCTGCGAAGGTTCACCCGTCCCAGTGGGGAAGGAATCCTGGGGGTCCTGACAGAGGGCTGCCCAGTGACACCGGGAGAGTCAGGCCGCCCGTGCAAGGCCACAGGGAAGGGGCTCCGGGGTGCTGCCGTGTGCGGGGTGGCTTTTCTGAGATGGCTTGTCACCCAGAGCAGTGACCCACAGTGAGGCTTGCAGCGTAGGGAGCGGCCGGCCGTGCTGGTCCACAGGTAAGGCAGACCTCTGCTCTCTGACCCCGGGCTCCTGTGGGAGGGCAGATGCCTCGAGGCAGACACACAGTTGGGCCACGCGGAGAGGCCCCTGGGCCCTTCCAGCGACAACAGCGAGTGTAGTGCTTCCCGGGAGGTGGGGTGACTGTGGGGCAAACTGGTGCTGGGACCCCCTCCCTTCCCACCTCCCTGAGAATATAGCCTTGGGCGTTCTGGCCCCAGCCTCTCCCCGGTTCACCGACCCACCAGGGACCTCTTTGGGTGGGAGGGGGGCCTGGTTGAGTGGAGGCAAGGACCCCAGTCCCCTGCTGCGGTTATGGGAACACTGAGCCTCAAGGCACCAGAGCTGGGCAGGGGGACCGTACCTCACCGTACCCTGCACTGAGAGGACAGGCAGCCTGGGGCACGGGGACCAGGTGGGGGTCATCAGGAAAGGCTTCCTAGAAGTGACGTCCAGTGAGGTCAAGGGGCCAGTGGAGAAGTGCAGGCCATCAGAGCTGTCCCATCACTCTCAGTGAGAAGCTCCATGTTCTTCCTGCTGAACTTGACTTTCAGAGGGTGGTACTTCCCAACCAGACCCCCCAGGGTCAGGAGAGGGAGCGCTCGCTTCTGCTGTGGGAGTAACAGTCTCACAAACGGCTCGCCTCCCGCCTGCACCCCTTCGGGTATCTGGTACACTGCAAGGTGTGACTGCAAGTGTGTGAGGTGTCTGGACTCCCCACCCTCGAAACCTCGGCCCAAGACAGCTGCCTCCCGCCAGAGAAGCAGTGCTGGCTGGTGTGATGGCAGCCACGTTCTCACAAGGAGGCCAAGCCAGGCAGCTCACGGTGGGAGTCAGGCAGTTTGACCCCCAGTTGCAGGTGATCTTGGGGAGATGCCTTCAGGAGCTGCCTGGAAGGGCCTGGAGGCCTTGGCCCAACCAGAAGTGAGAGTTACAACCCACACCTGTCATCACCACAGTCCCCCCTGGGTCACAGGGACTGGCCTTGAAATGATAAGGTACTCCAGAGGTCATCTGCCTCCACGGCAGAGAACTCCCCGCCTGTCACACAGAGGAGAATGAGAGGGAGGCGGGCAGGTGCAGGGTGTCGGGGAGGATATGCTTCACCTGATGACCAAGAGGGCGAGTGACATCACTGCTGACAGACTCCCTCCCCAGCAGGGCGGAGGCTCTGTGGGAGCATGCCCTCCACGGAGCCTCCTGGAGACGCCTCTCCCATAACTCTGTGTGTCTGTCACCACCCCAGATTTTTCATCCAAAGCAGCTGGCTGACCCACGCTTGCCCTTGGGTGAGAAATCCCTGCCCAGGTGAACCCTGCCTTGGCCTGCCCTGGAAGGGGTGTCAGGAGGGGAGATAGACGGGACGCTGGCTGTCGGCCACCGGGGTTCCTGGCTGCAGCCCCTTTTCTCGGTGAGAGCGAGTTCTGGGCGTCCACGCCCATGAGATTGCCTCCAGACTCCTCCTGACAAAGGCAGCTTTTCCAGAGCTTCTGGAGAAAGGAAGAGGCATGAGCTGCCTGCATTCAGCAGGGAGCTTGGAGCAATTCAGAGCCTCAGGGGCGTCCCTTCTGGAGCCAGGCCTGGGCCTGGGGCTTTCTGGGGTGGGGACACCTCTGGGGGACCCTGAGGCAGGCAGCAAAGGAGGTGGTGATGTAGCCTTTGATGCCCAAACTTCTTCCTTGCTGAGCCCTGTCTCTAGAGAAGAGAGGTCAGGCTTCTCTGAATGCCCAGACACAAGTCACTGTAATCACACAACCACGGGACCTTGAGGTCCAGAGAGGCCAAACCCCTCTTTCTGTAGAAGAGGAAGCCAAGGCCGAGAGAAGGCAAGTGTTTTGCCCAAATGCCGGAGCCAGAACCAATTCCAGCACCGCTAGGCGCCCAGGACAGGGGGTCTGCGCCACTGCCGGCAGCCCCAGTGGCCAGTTGATCCTCCGTGATGGGGGGCATGGAGAATCAGGGACACTGCCCCTCCTGTGAGCTGTTGGGGGTCACCTGGCTCTGGACAGAGGAGGTGGCACCAGGCAGGGACATCTGCCACAACCCAAAGCTGCCCCTCTGCTCTGTCTTCTCCCCCCAGCTCAGATGCTCCAGCGCTCACCCCCAAAGGCTTGGGAGTCTGAGGGAGCACAGCCGATGGGGAGGGGTGAATTGAGCCAGGTGGGATCCCGGCCGGACCCTTCCCCTGATGCTGGGTCTACCCGCTCTCCCTGGATCGACTTTCCCCAGGGGCCATCGCTTAGTAAGAGTGTAGGACCACCCTTGCTCCGGACGCCCAGGCCGTGGGGCCATGGTTCCTAGTCTAGGAAATGGGGCACCAGGCAGGATATGACCTGGGGTACGGACGGCAGGACAGCCTCTTGGGCGGGGCCCGGCTGCAGGTTTTGAACGTGGGTTTACAGACGGTTGTGATTCAGTGGCTGTGGCCGAGGAAGGAAGGCAGACTCGGCACGGGACACGGTGTGAGCAAAGCCCCAGGCAGGTCACTGTCAGCCTCGCTTCAAGGGCAGCAGGACAGCGGGAAGAATTGGGCTGTCCTTTCGGGTTCCTCAGCCATCCGGTGAAGGAGCCTAGCGTCCAGGCTGCCTTCTGAAAACCAAAGCCACTTTACCCTTAATAAGAGTAATGACACTCTGTCCTCCCCGGAGCCTGTCATCTGTGGGCCCCCAAGCACTCGGAAGACAGTTCATTAATCCTCAGCGGGCCTTTGAGGTTGGTGGCCGCTCCCCCTGCAGCAGCTGGGGCACCTGGGAGATGCAGGAGGGGGCGGAAAGCTGGGTTCGGGGACCAGAGTCCCGCATGGCGTCGGCCCCGGACCCTGCGGAGCTGCCCTGCGGCCCTGAGGCTCTGGAGCTGCCATGTGGAGCTCCGGGCTGTCGTCCTTGAGTGGGAAGGCCATCCTTGTGGAACTCGGAGTTGTGATTCCCTGGACCGGGATGACGGGGGCCTGAAGCCCTCCAGGCCAACTCCTGACCTGTAGGTGTCTGCCCACCCCCGGCCACAGGGGTAGAGCCCCAGGAAGGGGTCGGCCGAGGCCCTCGGAGCTGACCCTGCAGCCATCTGGCTGTGGAGGGCCGGGTGGAGAGAGGGAGAAGGTGAGCAGACGGCTGCTTCCCCGTTCTCCTCCTCCAAGGCCTCAGCCCTGGTCTCCGAGGGCCGCAGGGCCCCAGATGCGGAGGGGACGCCGTGGGCAGGAGGGCTGTGGGGAGCGAATGGCCTAACCCTTGCCCCTGTCCTCAAGGTTCCATGTATGACGGCCTGGCCGACAATTACAACAGCTGCGGGACCACCGGCCGAAGCAGCTACTACTCGAAGTTCCAGGCGGGGAACGGCGCGTGGGGCTATCCGGTAAGGAGCGGCTTCCCGCAGGGTGTGGGCTCAGGCTTCGTGGAGGAGAAGGCGCGTCCTGGTCGCCGAGACAGCGGTGCGGGGTGGGAAGGGTCCCCGAGGGGAGGGCCCCCAGCTCTGACTGGGTCCGTTTGCTTGGCCATCATTTCACACGTGGCTCTCACTGCAGCCTCCTGTCTGACTGGATATTTCTGAATGTCTCAGATGAGAACATTTTAGAAAAAGCATAAAGAAAACATCATATTCAAAAGAAAAGTCCATTTCCCAATATATCTGATTTGATCATAGATTTGAAAGATGTTTGAATTCTCATGGTCCAGTCATGTATAGGTTAGATGTTTCTAGAAAAATCCCGAAGGAACCCTCTCCTCAGTATGTGCTGATGACCAAGGATGTGTGCCCAGGGGGGAACGTGGCTTGAGTTTGTAAGTTGGACAAACCCGCGTTCAGATTCTCGCTGTGTTACTTACTGCTGAGCATGTGACCTTGGGCAAGATTCTTCTACCTCTGGGTCTCAGTTCCCCCACATGTAAAATGGATATAACAAAGTCTACCTCTGGGGATTGTTGTCAGGACTAAACGAAATAATGTGCATTAAAAAAAAACCTGATTGGGCTTCCCTGGTGGCGCGGTGGTTGAGAGTCCGCCTGCCGATGCAGGGGACACGGGTTCGTGCCCCGGTCCGGGAAGATCCCACATGCCGCGGAGCAGCTGGGCCCGTGAGCCATGGTCGCTGAGCCTGCGCGTCCGGAGCCTGTGCTCCGCAACGGGAGAGGCCACAACAGTGAGAGGCCCACGTACCGCAAAACAAAAGAAAAAAAAAAACCAACCTGATTATAATCATTCTTAAGAATTTTTTTTTTAAATTAGCATGAGTAGACATTATCCTAGATCCTTTAATCCTGGCCCTGTCACTGTCTTTCTGTGTGATCTCATCCCGCTATGCCCGTCCGCCCATTACTGAACAAATATTTCTTTAGCCCTAGCTCTCCATCAAGCACCAGGGCAGATGCCCTGTTTCAACCATACAAGCCCACGCAGGAGTTTTCTTCTGCTCCACAATCGGGGTGTCGGGCTAGGTGACACCCAGGTTTCCTCCCAGTCTGCAAATCCTGTGACTTCCCTTTCATTTTGCTAATTCCAACATTAGCCTGTATTGTTCTGGAAATCCTTCTGTGAGGCCCTTCAGGCCTGTGCAGCTGGGGATAAAGGCCGCTTCTCCGTGGGACTCTGGGCTCCGTCCGCTTGGGCCTCAGGTTTTAGCAGCTTTCGCTTTGAGTCCACATTGCTCACAGATGTCGGGGTCCCGGGCAGGAGAGAGGTGGGAGGTTTATGAGTTAGGTGTTCCTTGCCATCCACTCGATTCCTTCCTACATAAGGTCTCACTGGGGCTGATTTGGGAGGATTTGTGTTCCGTCGCAGCTTTAACTAGGTTTGCTGTGAATTTAGTTCCCTCCGTTTTTCCCTATTCTTCATGTCAGTTGATACCCTCAGCGCCGATAACTGATAAATACAGTTGACTGAGCCCAGTAGGCGGGCAGACCAGGCATAGATGTGAGTAAAGGGCTTTGACGGAGAGACTGATGACCAGGCAGAATCTGAGAAGATGACTTCGTAATGCCCGTGAAAAGGATTAGGAGAGACCCAAGGAGGGGCAGGTCCCTGGACGGGACCAGCAGTCAGATGAGTAATCGTGCTGACCGCGCAGATGTTCTGTGTCTTCACAATGTTGCGTTGCCCAACCAGAACTTGGCGCTTGGGTTCCCGCCCTGGGCCTCTGGCTGCTCTCTGACTCTGTGACTTTAGATCGAGCTCTGATTTCTCTGGGTATCAGTGTTCTCATCTGCGCGTGCTTCACCTCCACTCAGGGGTTGACGTGTTACATTAACCGGGACGTGTCATCAGATGAGGGGCTGTTACACGTGGGGATTTGTAACCAGGACCTGCAGGGAACTCGTTCTGAGGGCCTTCTTGGGAGAGCCTGTGTGCGGCTGGGTTCAGCACTGCTTCTGGTCCATTAACTCGATCCTCACCGGCTCCCAGCTGCCCCTACACCCTCCCCGTGACTGTTTTCTGACACCCGGTGAGAATTCCCTCCTTTCCCGAACCCCAAGGCCCAGCCCTCGTCGCTCCTTCTCTCTGCCGGCGGGATTTCAGAGTGACTCAGTCAGGAGCTGCCTGGACACGTGTCCCGGCTCGCTTAGCTCAGGAGGGGCTGTGGGACACGGGGCTTTGGTGGAGGGAGGCGGATGGGTGGAAGGATTGCTGCTGGAGCCGAGCACGTCAGCCACGATGGCAGAACCGCTAGTCAGGACTTAGGGGAAGGGGGGCAGGGGGCAAGTCAATAGGGGAGCCATGGGATTTTCCCAGGGATTGGCACAGCTGAGCCAGGGGAGTTCAGTCCCCCCCCCCCCCCCCCCCCCCCCCCGCGGGAGGGGCCGCGGGGGGGGGGGGGGGCCCCCCCCCCCCCCCCCCCGCCAAGAAACGAGCGCAGAGGGCAGGGGGAGGGAACAGGGCCCACGGACCCTCCTCAGAGTAGCCTCCATCTGCCCTGGGAGGACCGCAGACAGATCGTTGCTAAGCTGGAAGAGTCCAGCTGTGCTGCCATTGCCGGAAGTGTTTCTGGAACCTCTAAAAAAATTTTTTTTATAAAATATAATTGTTGTTAGTGCCATTTTAGCGGCCATCTAAGAAAACCAGCCCCATTTGTGTGTTGTCAGGACCTGTGTTTGAGCGGAAATGATATTAAGCCCTCTGAGAGCCTCACTCCTCAGACTTGTCTTGTTTCGAATATCAGATCAACTTCAAATAACAAAGATTGGTCACCACTGACGACGTATTTTATTTAAGTATGCAAAGGATCTGTTCTAAAAATGTTTAAAAAGCAGTGGTGGTACCTTATGATGTTACCTTATATTCTAATTCAGCAATAGTCTTTTAATTTAAAAAAACAGATGAGATATATCTCATCCTACCATTTATAATCTATGATCACTTATATCACAAGATAAGAAAATGGAATATAGACGGTCTTGTCATAGAATGAAACAGAGTTAGTCTGACACACAAAAAGCATCAAGGGGCTTAAGAAAAAGAAGAACTGGTCCCGAGAAAGTCGTTGGCCAGTCGTTCTCTATCCTCTCCTGGTCCTCGGAGACCGTATCTGCTGGTCAGTGATGCCCAGAGGCCCAGGGAGGAGCAGGTGAGCTGGTGCAAAGGGTGGGGCACATCCAGCCCTGTTTCTCAGATGAGCAGACTCAACTCTTCTGTCCCAGTTCTCAGAACCAGACTCGGGGACTATGTAGGGACCGACAAGGTTGGCATTTCATAGTTGAGGACACTCAGGCCCAGTAAGGACAAGGGTCACATGGCTGGTTAATGGGAGAGCAGACGAGACCCCTGGCCTCCTAACTCCTAACCTGATGGAGTTTCCTTTCATCGCCCCAGACATTTGCGCTCTTTTGTTGGGCATTTTATGGGATGTTTTCTGGTGTGTTTTTTTTTTTTTTTGCAGTCTCAATATTTTAAAACTATAGTATGTTCTGGGGACTTGGAACAGACGCATGAGTTCAAATCCCTTCATTTCCCCCCTTCCGTCCCCCAGCCAAGCCTACTCTTTCCTTGGTGAGTCAGCCTCACACAAAAGACGCAGGGCAGTGGCCCCTTTTTCCTTCCTAGACTCAAGCTGGAGCCACTCAGCTGTGGGGGTCAGGGTGGGCTACCAATTAAACATAAAGAAATGCAATATTTGCGACATACTGATCCTACAGTGTTACTTGTTTACCCAATAGTCAAATGTAACTGGGGGTCCTGCATTTTCATTTGCTGTATCTGGCGTTCCCCAGGTCGGGGTGTATTTCCACCCATTCCCTGTAATAAAAACAAGACTCCCTAAGTGCCCCTGTCCTAGGTCGGGGACCGAGGCAGAATTACTTTAGGGGAGCAAAGGGAGGCTGACGGCCCCCCTGAGGTCCTTGTACGGGGCACTTTGAACACGTCCCCTGGGTCGGCTGACAGCAGGGTGAGGGAGGAGGGAGCAGAAATCACGGAAAGCACATGGGTTTGTCCTGGATGACGTTGCGGCAGGTGGACAGTTTAGCGTCCAGGGAAGGTTCTGGATTAAGAGGAGGGTCTCCCTTTCCACCGCCTCCAGCCCCAAATGGTTTTCCTATTTACAAATCAAGAAGCACACCTAGAGCGCTTACGTCCCTCTGGGCGTCACGTGGAGTGACATGTGCTTTGGTTGTGGACGGGCCTAGAGCATCCCGCCGGGAGCCGATCCCACGCGCGCAGCAGCTGGGCCAGGGTATCCCATGGGGGCATCGTGCTGAATCCCTCCACCGTGCTCTGTTACACCAGCCCAGGGCTCGGGGTGGGGGCAGAGGCCAAGACTCCCCGGGAGGACGGCCAGGGGAAATTCTGCCTTCATTCTGGTCACTGATCCCATTTCTCTGCCTTAACCCAGGGTTCAGGGAATTCCCCTGTGGTCCAGTGGTTAGGACTCCGAGCTGCCACTGCAGGGGGCACGGGTTCAATCCCTAGTCGGGGAACTGAGATCCCGCATGCCGCACGGGGAGGCCAAAAAAAAAATTATTAAAAACAAAATCCAGGATTCGCTAGCAAATCTTCCTCCCAGCCTCTTCTCAGCTGTACTTGCTTAACTGATGTGTCAGTATTTGGTGATCCCATCACGACAGGGTCTCCTGGACCACGTGCTGGGGACCCTCTCCCTGAGGGGGACTGGTCCTGCCCACCCCAGACCCAGAGACACCTGGGTGGCCCTCTTCTGTAGATGAGAGGGCTGAGGCTGTGCACAGCTCCGTGGGGCGTGGGAACCCAGGCTCTGGTGAGCCACGTGTGTGCAGGGTCTGCAGGTGGCAGGGCCCAAGGCCGAGGGGCTGCCGGAGAGAAAACGGCAGGACTCTAGCCCTTGAAGCAGAGAAAGGTCCCAATAAACACAGACCCCTCCCATGGCAGGTGGTGTGGAGGGACCAGCCCTG